CTGTGTCCGCAGGGGCGTGGCTAGTCCACTTCTGTTATGTGGTTTATAAATAGAACTCAAAGGTCAAGGTAACATGTGACATACAGTGTTACTCCCATCATTTGCATTTAAGGATGATATTTTTCTGTTGTGACAATTTTCAGAGCTGAGTTTGTGGGCAGCAACATGTTTGTCCTTCACTTTTTTCACCACTTCATCCTACTCGCAGCTATTACAGGTATTTTGGGAAAAGTTCTGTCAGACCACTTTCAATAGAATCACTTCACACCTGCAGGGTTATAGGTTCAAATCCCACCCCCGCTTTGTGTTTGTGGAGTTTGCATGTTCTCCCCGTGTCATGTGGGTTTCCTCTGGTTCCCTGCCGCAGTCCAGAGACGTGCGTTTATGCTAACTGGCATCTCGACATTTCCCATAGCATGTGCCCTGTGATAGACTGGCATCCCGTCCAGGGTGTAGTCCAGCCTGGTCCCCTGTGCTGTCTGCAGGCCCTTTCCCAGTGAATCCATCATAAGCAGCTGGAGAATGGATGGACGGATGTCTTTACAGAGAAATACATATTAAAAGGTTGTGGATATGTGCACCTGAAATTAGAATCTCATTTCGCCTTTATGATCTTTTCAAGGACTTTTCAGAGGTTCTGGTTTGAGTTCCTTTGCCAGCAGCGTTTCGTTACGGCGTGTTGTTGCCATCGGCTGCCCATCCTCACATGTCCAGCAGCGCGAGGACGAGGAAGCCAGCGTTGCACCTCAGCGATGCTACTTCTCCACACCAGTAATGCCAGATGCTGAAAATGGTCGTTATAGAGCTTGCACCAAACACCAAAACAAAACAAGTATCTAAAGGAGTGTAATCCCAAACCGCTGTGTCCTCTTAGGGAGCCTCGTACATACAGGGTGGGAGAAGACCATCAGACCCCTGCTAGATGATGCTTCCCCCCCAGTATAGTGTGAAGCCCACATACTTACTGCGAGCGCCACAAAAGGAGCAACATAATTTTTATCCTTTTGTTTCCTCAAAGCATTCCAACCTCATTCCGGTTGGCGCCTAGATGGATTTTTATGATATCCTGGGCTGTTTTCCAGACGAGGCATTCAGCTGCCCTGGAGGACAGCCATGTGACAGTCGGGGATGTGTCACGTACATCGTTAATTGACTACGTCCAACACGAGTGACATTATCAAGTACTGTATGTGCAATTTATGAAGATATTGCAATGTATAATGCGAAAATGAGTGCAGAATATAGTGTAGCCAGTGTCATTGACTGAACTCTGTGATATAGTGTTGGTGAATGAGTTGGAATCAGGTTGGTCCTCATTTAATCCTCAGTGGTCCATCTGTGGGGTAGGATATAAGTCTTGATGCCTTGATAGGAACATTGGGCAGAACCTGCACTTCTCGTCCCTCAAGCCCACAGCACGAAGCAGATCAACACGCCCTTTAACCCAACCAATCAATGCAGGATGCCTCCAATTACTTTAATTAGTTGGGGTTGAATGAAGCAGCCGGCCTGAGTGCGTCCGCCCCTGTGTTCTGATAGGTCAGAGGGTATCACGGTGGTTCTTCTGCACATGGGGTTGCTCCTCACGGCTCACCCGCCAACGGCAGGTTGGCCGTTCGTCAAACTGTGACGGGAACCTTGTGGCACCATCTTGTAAGGGAGCGTGAGATTCTGGCAGGTGGGGCGAATGAACCGATTAGGGCGATGAACCTGGTTAATAACCCAGACGATCTCGGTCCACATCAGGGACTCCTGCCAAACACTTGTGCCACCATATTGAATATGCCAGTATGCCCTTACATGCTGCACAATTCACAAGCTCAGTCCCAATGCTGACAGCCAGAGGTCCATATAATGGCCTGTACTGTGGTCCCAATAGAACTGCCTTTTCACATCTGAGAATCGAACATTCATCGATGCATTTTTTTCTTTTGATATTAAGGCAATAACAGCCACTCTTGTACATTCATTTTTTTGTTATTCTGATTTATTCTAATTGTGCGTTGTACTCTAAGTAGAATATTCTATCTCAATCCTTAAGTGTTACTGTATTTTTTGTTAATGGCCTTTAAATGGATAAATTAGAAAAGCTTACAGGAGTGGGACGGGGGAATACAAGTGACAGTGGGTATGATCCGGGTTAGGTGGCATTGTCTTCTTTTTATGCCATATGGTTGGAATCTTGATGAGCAGACCTTGTGTTTACAGGCAGCATATTCATTAAATCTCACACAAATAAGCAGCTAATGTATTTCACTGCGTTTTACAAAGATGTCGTGGTAGGGGGTAAAATGGTAGTGAGAACTGAAGGATAGGGCCAAAAGTTGATATTAATTTGTTTGCTCTGAGGTCAGATGCAGTTGCTAATTTGATTTTTGAATTGCACAAGCTGAGTCTCCTGCAGAACATCCTGAAAGTGCAGCAGATTAATTGTGGTGAGGGAGGTGGGCAATTTCGCCGAAACCCTTTCAGAATCTCGCCCTGATGTTTTACATTAACCACCCCCCCCCCCCTTTGCTCCTGAATGGATTTTGATTAATGGCCCCTGTGAATGTAGCTGCCCGTATTCAGTGAATATATCAGTCAGTGCCAGTCTGGCCTCCTTGCACTGTAATTGTTCAAAGTGACAGGCCGGTTGCCACGGCAACGCGGTCAAATCCGGAAAGCCGGATCGTGGGTAGTCTCCCGACAAAGGCCGGTGCCTACATGTGTTTGACAGAGCCGAAGCGCTGGGTGAAAAGGGAAAAAAAATAAAAAATGAGGAACAGGATTGAAAAAGAGTATGGCATGCCTTTAAACAGGGAACTTTAAACCGTACCTGGGGAAAAATACGAGGACTAGCAAAATAATAAATAAATAAGAGGATGGCAGGGTAGCGGAAGGGAAGGACACGTTCCCTTGGTTCCCCCGTGGACTGACAGGTGTGTGGTGCATTCCCGTTCTAAAGAGCCGCCACGTTGGACCCACGGAGCACCTGACCATCGCGATCCTCCCACTGCTTTCCTCTGTGCAGAACCGCTACCCCCTTACCTCCAACGACACCCGTGTGTCCCAGAATGTTCTAGTATCTCTTCAGAGCTTTTAATCGTTAATCTTGTGTTATACCGAAAGAAAATGAGTGCGGTAAATTCATATCATATAACCAATTAAACTTAATACACTGTATATCCCTGCTCACCCAGGATTTGGTCACCGAATTGAACTAATTTGTCAGTCTGCAGTAAACAGATTTGCAGGCTGCAGTGTGCAGCTGAGAATGCGTTGGCTCTAATGGACGCGACAGCCTGGTGCTTTTCTGCTTGTGCATGTGCGTGCACGTGCGTGTGGAATGGCAGGCATCTCAGTAAGCTTCATTTAATAACATCATAAATGATACATTAACGAGGTTTGGGAATTTGCATTACTAGGTGAGAATTGGTACAGGAAGACTTATTGCATGTTTTTAAATGCTTGGGTGGTTATATTGTATGTGCATGTGGTAACAATTATGTTATAAAGGTCGTAAACTGCAATGTTTCATCGCAAAGTTATTCAGGCATGACAGACATTTAAATTGGGATTAAAAAAAAAAAATCGAATATGCATTTATTTGAATATATAGTTTCACCCCAGTATGTGTGAGATACTGGATGTTCAAACATAGTCTAAATAACCTTCAGGAAAATGTTTACCAGAAGGGAATATCACGAAAGACTCAAACAATCACACTGAAATCAGACTTATCTGCTTATATTGCAATCAATAGACCCACTCCGCAATTATTCTCCCTCAGTTTTAAGGAACTGAGAGTGTTGCCATAGCAATGTGAAATGTCTGTGCTCTGCAACAACAGTGGGACGGTCCTCTACTGGAACATTGCTGGAGAGGCTCAAGCTTGCTGTTTGGTGCATTAACATAAATGAGGGCGTGCTGAGGAGGGGGTATTTTTTTGGCACGAACAGATGAAGCGGTATTTCAGAGTGATGCTGCCGGGGGGGGGGGGCGGCATGCTTTGATGGGCACCTGGGTAAGCGGAGGATCTTCAAGCAGCCGTTCTCTCTCTCTGTCCACCTCTCTACAGTGTGACAACGCCAAAGGGCTGAGGGCCTTCTTCGATGCCATCTGCTTTGGCCCCAAACACCTTATGATCTTCGGCGGCGTGTGCCCGACCGTGACATCCGTCATTGCAGAGTCCCTGGAGGGCTGGAACCTCGTGCAGGTAAGAGGTGCTGGGCTTTTTGTTATAAACTCCGCCCCTCCATCATCTCAGAGACACTCTGCGTCTTCAGGGGACATGGCATGGGCGAGTTCTGGAACAGCAGCGGAAAGGCCCGAATGGTGCTCCCGCACCTCCGAGGACCATCCCTCAGAGTTATCCCTGTCCTCTGCCCCTGTACTATTAGGGGGGGGGGGATGTAAGGTGGACACTATGCTTTGATTGAATAGGGCCGGGGAGCAGTGTGGACACGGCCAGCAGGAAGCTCCAAATCAGCCTCAGCATTACTGATCCATGTCCCCCCCCCCCCCCCAAACCCTCACCCCCTGGGCCTGAGTGAGCACTTCCACAGCAAACGCAAGAGGTTTCAGCGTCAGCACAAGTCAGACAGACACACCCCTGGTCTGATAAAAAACTTTGTTTTTTAGCAAAGCGGGATGAGTCAGATCCACTCGCAGATGTTTCGCCGACCCTCTGGGGCAAAAGCGGGATATTGTGCTGGTGCTTTGGGGTGAAGCTCCGCGCTGACAGGGAGCTCGACTGGGCACCTACAGGCGATGAGTTCATGCCCTTCACCAATACTGCCTTTGGTTGGGCGTTGTCTCTGTTTTTTGTACTGGTAGTGTTATTTTCTGCAACACTTCCAAATTATAAACTAATCTCTCATCGGCCTTGCTGAAACTGTCCGATTTAAAAATATTTTGGTCTATTTTAACCACTGAATATATTAAGCAAAGCTTATTAGTAATTTTGTTTTTTTATATTCAGCTTCAGCTCACATCGCTTGAAACATCTTTGCTCCTGCTGGTACCTTTGAGAAATGATTGATACTCCTTCGAGTGACTTTACTCTCCTGATCACCCAGCCAGGACATGGGAGCGGTGACTTTTTAAGCCACTTTTTACAGTAGTTAGTCATTAAAGCAGCTTTTCAGAAATTAAATACTATTCAGTTTAATTATTTGAGCTGCGTGGTCCGGATAGATGACCAGTTTGGGGACAGGGGTCTCTCAGAGCTGACGTTTTTTTACTGCACACAAATTCTCTGTTCCAGAAGTCTCTTAGGGCAAAGAAAAAATGGAAAAGACTTTTAATTTTTAAGAAAGTTTCCCGTCCATGTTAATGATTCATTTAAATATGAAAAATGGTTGCCTGTACTTTTAAAAATCCCCCTTTTCTTACTGTGTGCATAGATTAATAACTGCCTGTTACTCATGACAGAAAACGCACAGATCTGAGGTAATTCATGCTGAAATAATGTGAAGATTGACAGAGTGATTTTATCCATTCTTTGTGCTCTCTAAAACAAGGACAGGACATACCTTCAGATTAAGGTGATTGTCAGATATAATGTAGTGCTACAAATATGCACACAGCATGTCAGCCATTGTGGGGCTGTTGCCAAGAGCAGCCAATAGCTTTCTTTAATAGTAGATGACAGGCATCGTAGCAGGTCACTTGCTAATCGTACACTGATGTGAAATTAACTATTAACATTGATAAACAAAATGCATTTTTTTCCAGAGCAGTTCTAACTGTGATTACCACGACAACCGCATCTTTTATGCCGCATACTCAAGCCTCATTCCATTGCATATAATCGTGCACTTTCATAGAAGGGCGGCCATTTTGCTGATGGATGCCATCTGGACAATCAGCATGATAGTGTAAACTGCAGCAGTTAGGGGATTTTAAAGGGGCGTGTCGGAACACATCTTGGCTGAATCGAGCCTGGGCAAAGTGGCGATTCCCTTTAATTCCTGCCACGTTGCCGTAGCGCCGTGCCGCTGCATTTCATTGGCTCTGGGTAGCCGCACGTCCTTTTCCTTCAAAGCAAAAGGGCTCATGATTTCAAATTGTAGGCCTTTATCACCCGAAACAGTCTTGCGCGAGAAACTGTCACCCGATAGGATGTCGGTCCCAACCAGAGAGAGACTGTGGAGACGAATGGGCCTGCCAAAGGTTAGCCCCATTACTGCCAAAGGTCAACACCGTTACCGTGTGACTCCGTGTGACTCCGTGTAAGACAATATCTCAGCTGAATTAATGCGCTGGCGATGCCGATCATTAGCATCGAACATCCACATTGATTTAAAGGCAAAATATAGTGTTAAAAACAGTTTAAATCTGCCCTTCAAACATGAGCAGTACTAGCTGGACACAGCTGTATTATTTTGTACAGCCATTAGCAAATGAAATAGGATGTAAAGAGGAAATCTGATTAATTCGTACAAGTACATGCGTCATTCATTTTAAATATATAAATAACTGCTTAACTGCATGCACATAATCATGACAGCTTTCTCAATTAATAAAATGTCAAATTTATTAATGAATATACATATATTTTACTAGATTCCTATTTGACGCTTAAATTAAATATTAATATTAGCCATCTCTGGAAAATGCAGGTAGTTACTCATACTGGCGTAATGGTAGAACTTGCAGCATTAGGGTCAGATGGTGCCGTGTCATTGAAGCATAAGACAAATTAATTAATGCAAATATATTATTTTTCCTTCCTTCCATCTATCCATCTATCAATCTATCCATCCCTCCATTTTCTTTAACTGCTTGTCCTATTCAGGGTCATAGAGGCTACAGGTGCTTGGCAGGGAACAACCCAAAGACAGGGGCCCCAAACCATCACAGGGTACACATACACACACACACACATGTAGGGTAAACATATCCTTATGGGGACCCCTCATTCATTTCAATGGGAAAAATGCTAACGCTAACTATGACAACCTTAAGGTTGTCATTGTTAGCGTTAGCATTTTTCCCATAGGAATGAAAGAGTGGTCCCCATAAAGATATGTTTACCGGCCTGTGTGTGTGCGTGTGCCCTGTGATGGCCTGGCATCCCGCCCAGGGTGTCCCCTGCCTCCCTCCACTCCGACTGGGATAAACTGCAGACTCACTGTAACCCTGTACAGGATAATTGTTTGCAAGATGGATGGATGAATAGATCTACATCTGACTGCATATAAATAAGTGTATCGTGTACGATGGAATAGACTCGCTCATATCGCTGAATGCTTCCGACAGCAAACATGACACACATTTCCCTGAGACAGTTATAATTTGCCATAAGTGTTTTTATGGCAGTTGACGCTGTCTGCGAGACCTGCTCAGGGCACCGCCATCGGATTCCTTTCTGCTGGAGGCTTTATTAACCAGCTACTTGATATATAGCGTCTTCCAATGCTGGTCATAACTCATACCGGTGGTTCTGTGGCTCAGAAGAGGACAACAGGACAGCGCTCGAATCCAAACCACCCACGATAAAACCAAAATTGGGCCCAATAAAACGTGTGGGACAAAATAGCACAATAATCCTTGTAAAACGTTACTTCCAGGCTGTTGTTTAGGGTGAGAGGGTGCCCAGTCGTGGTTCAAATCCTGTCTGGATTTTTTTTGGTTTCTGGTCTCTCTAAATTGCTCTTAGTGTGTGAGAATGTGTCAGTAATGGACTGGCATCTCCTCCAGGGTGTTTTTCCAGTCTTGCACCCGATGCCGTGTTCCACATATTTCCACACGTTGGTTTAAGTGGGTCCATCAAGTTTTTCTTTACCGGCCAATTTAATTCTGGCTACCAGAGTTTTCTCATATTTGTTTTACTGTATATCAGGGATCAAAGGTCCACATCAGATTCAGTCAGAGGTCCAGAAGAATTTTCAGTAACAAAATAGCATTTCAAGAATTTTAATGAATTAACAATAACTTTGATATAGCCATCAGTATATAACAATTATGGGAACTTAACCTAAGGACTGGTTTAACACTTGCTGATTGTTTCAATTGTCATGAAGGGGCTTATGACAAGTTATGTGTGTGTGAAATTTGGTGGATCGACATTGTATGTTTGTACTTCAGCCTTTTTACGTTAGCCATATTGATTCGTAAGGTGCATTACTGACTAGGTCCAGATTAACTTGTGGTTCACTTTGAGAACCCTGTTTGTATGTTGTTTTCTGTTTTAAGGGAAACTAAAGCAATGCTTCTCCAGTGTAACTCCATCGAGTGTTCCGGTCTTTTCCATTATAAAACACACAGGCTGTGCCGTCCATGCGGTCACTGATTCTGTCCTACAGTAGCGTACTAACCTGCACACTTCTGGCAGACAGACGGGGACAACTGGGGCAGAGAAGCGGATTCCAGGATGAGGGTTACCTTCCAAAGTCACGATCACTCAGCCGCAGCTTTTGAGTGGAGCATCTTCTGGACATTTCCATAGCGTTTCCATTGTATATTTCACAGGAACGTTGCACACACTGAAGTACACTGAAGTGCACAATTGCCTGGCCTGTTTTTAGTATTGGCACCTTGTGTTTATGGCTGTTTAACTTCAAACCGCTATGAGGGAGGCACTCTGCAGCATTCCTTCTTTTAAAAGCTTTGAGTGATAAATTGGTGTATTTTTTTTTTCATGGAATGAGCTTTTAGCAAGTTTTGGAACCTCACTGTCCTTCATCTTGTTCCTTTGTAGGTCGGCATTGCAGGCGACAGGTTATGATGGTCATGTCATGATCGCTAAACCGCTACTGTGGAGCAGCAGGGATGCTTTTGTCAGTCAATTAAGCAACGATTATCCAAACCTGGGGGGGGGGGGGGGGGGGGGGGGGGGGGGGTAA